GGAGTCGTTTAGGGCTTTATAGGTCAACACCAGCACTTTGAATTGTGCTTCCATATGCATGGGGGTCAACACCAGCACTTTGAATTGTGCTCCCATATGCATGGGGGTATTGGGGTAATGATACAAAAGGTTTGCTAGGCTAGACCCTCTTTCACTCAGACTCGCCCCCCCCCGAAACTCACCCCCCCCTGAAAAAGAATTAGCCCCCCCCCCCAAACGAAATCCTGGCTACGGGCCTGGTAGGTATGGTTAAGATGTGTGTCTCATATTATTATTATTGTTATTATTAAACTTTATTTGTACTCCGCTAGCATCTCCCGAAGGACTCGATGCGGCTTACAAAGGCCAAGGCCTCAACACAACAACAGCAGACAATAACTATACAATACAAAGCAAATTAAAAACATAAACAATAACAAACATTACACTATTACGCAATAAAAACTAGGGCCAGGCCAGTGATGGGTACAGGTTAAAAAAGTGCTGGGTGTGACAGGTAGTATGTTTTCCAGGCAAGTGCAATGTGCAGAGAGTCTTAAACTCTAATAAGGTGCTTCTGGGACGTAGTGCTGGAGATTATCCTATTCCGGAAAGGCACATCGGAATAGCCAGGTCTTCAGATTCTTCCTGAAGACTGCCAACGTGGGTGCTAGTCTAATGTCTTTGGGGAGGGTGTTCCAGAGTCGGGGGGCAACCACAAACGAGCTTGTCCCCACCAAACGAGCCTGCGCCTCTCCGGATGAACGAAGTGAGCGCGTGGGTTCATAAACGGAGATGCGGTCACGCAGGTAGGCAGGTCCCAAACCGTTTACGGCTTTGTAGGTGAGCACCTGCACCTTGAATTGGGTTCGGTAGGTAAACAGCAGCCAATGGAGCTCCTCCTGGGTTGACCTCTCTCTGTAAGGAGCGCCAGTTAACATCCTGGCCGCCGCCTGTTGGACCAGTTGGAATTTCCGAGCCGTTTTCAAGGGCAGCCCCACGTAGAGCGCATTACAGTAGTCCAATCTAGAGGTGACTAAGGCATGGACCACCCCGGCCAGATCAGCCTTTGTGAGGTGCGGTCGCAGCTGGCGCACAAGTCTTAGTTGTGCAAAAGCCCTCCCGGACACCGCCGACGCCTGAGCCTCAAGCGTAAGTGATGAATCCAAGAGGACTCCCAAACTGCGGACCTGTGACTTCAGGGGGAGTGTAACCCCGTCCAGCACAGGTTGCCACCCTATACCCCGATCCGGTTTACGATTGACCAGGAGGACCTCTGTCTTGTCGGGATTGATCTTCAACTTATTCTTCCTCATCCAGATAGCCACAGCGGCCAGGCACTCATCCAGCACTCAAGGGGCCTCCTTGGAATTAGGTGGAAATGAGTAGTAGAGTTGTGTGTCATCTGCGTAGAGATGGCACCCAACTCCAAAACTCCGGATGACCTCTCCCAGCGGTTTCATGTAGATGTTAAAGAAGCATGGGAGACAAAATAGAGCCTTGCGGGACCCCACAGGTCAAAGGCCAGGGGTCCGAGCAGGCATCTCCCAGCTTCACCATCTGGGATCGAGCCTCCAGGAAGGACTGGAGCCACGAGAAAACCGTGCCCCCGAGACCCATCCCAGAGAGTCGTCCCAGAAGGATACCATGATCATAGAATCCTAGGGTCGGAAGGGAACCCCAAGTGCCGTCCACCTAAGCTCCATTCGGCCAGGCAGGAAGAGCACCATCAAAGCATCACCGACATATTTCATTTATTTATTTAGGGCTTTTCTATCCCGTCCTTTCTCAACCTCTGCAGAGGGACTCAGGATGGCTAACAAAGTGGCACCCCATGGCGCCCACATCAAAAAATAAATATACAATTAACAGCCATGTAATAATAACAGCAACATAAAATAGTATAAACAGTATAAAACCGTATAAACAATATAAAAACAGACAAGAAATAGTCAGTGGTCACTGATTTAAATCGTTGTCCAAGGGCAGTTCTTGGATATATGGCCACCCAGCCAGAGACGTGGAGATGGATGAGATGTATGTCTCATAGGATCCTAGAGTTGGAAGAGCCCTGCAAACAACCCTATTTATTTCAAACAGCAAGGCACAATCAAAGCCTTCCAGACAGATTATTATTATTATTAAACTTTATTTGTACCCCGCTAGCATCTCCCGAAGGACTCGATGCGGCTTACAAAGGCCAAGGCCTCAAAACACAACATAACAATACATAACCTAAAGCAAATTAAAAACAGTTAAAGCAATATTAAACAACAACAATAAAACAATACACCAGGACACAATAAAACTGGGCCGGGCCAGAGTAAAGGGTACAGATTAAAAGTGCTGATGTGATAGGTGGTATGTAAGGATTATGGGGTAAGTGCAGTGTGCCAGCAATCTTAATTTGTAATAAAGTTCTTCTCGGACTTGTTATTGGAGTTTTCCTATTCTGGAAAGGCACATCGGAATAGCCAGGTCTTCAAGTTCTTTCTAAAGACTGCCAACGTAGGGGCCTGTCTAAGATCTTTGGGGAGGGTATTCCAGAGTCGGGGGGGCCACCACAGAAAAGGCCCTGTCCCCCGTCCCCACTCCTCACTCCTCACCAAACGCGCCTGTGACGCAGGCGGGATCGTGAGCAGGGCTTCTCCGGATGAACGAAGTGAGCGCATGGGTTCATAAACGGAGATGCGGTCACGCAGGTAGGATGGTCCCAAAATCGTTTAGGGCTTTGTAGGGAAGCACCTGCACCTTAAATTGGGCTCGGAAGATAAAACGGCAGCCAGTGGAGCTCCTTGAACAGGAAGGTCGACCTCTCTCTGTAAGGAGCACCAGTTAACATCCTGGCCGCTGCCCGTTGGACCAGTTGAAATTTCCGAGCCGTTTTCAAGGGCAGCCCCACGTAGAGCGCATTACAGTAGTCCAATCAGATGCCTACTCACCCATAGATATGATCGATAGCTATAGTAGATATAGTAGATGCAGAACCCTAAATTTGAATGAGGCCTTTAGAGGCCCCCCAAGTCCAGCCTCCTGCCGGGCAGAAAGGGCACCATCAAAGCACCCCCAACAGATGGCCATCTGACCAGCAGCGTTTCTATCGGATCCATTCTGCAGTTGTTCAGAACAATTACTGGGGATCCTAATGGGAAGGCAACCCTAAGGGAGTTGCGGTTTGAGTCCTCAAGTGGGTTTCTAGCGCAAGGTGTTCTGGGGGAATGGGTCAGGAGGACAGTGCCACCTTTCCTCGGAAACCTCCTGGAATCCCTGAGCAAAAGGGAGGAGATCAGGAACATCAAGGCAGAAAAAGGCAGGATGGCTGGACAATGGGGATTGAAACGTCTCAACAGGCAGCAAGCAGCTGAAAGGCGCCTTCTGTCTCGGCTGGTCATGCGTTTTGCCCGGCTTCGGGTTCCTCTTCCTCCCCATTGAGCATGAAGCAAGCTTTTGTGCACAGGAAGATGGATGTTGGGCAGCGTTGGCTCTGCGGGATAGATGTGGGCTAAATGGAGATGGCAGTCATCTGGCCTCTTTCCATGCAGTTTCATTCATTCACTCAGCTGGGCTGGTCTTATCTGTTGTCTCCTACCATTACTAGATCTTGTGCACATATATGTACAGATAGATCTAGATATACTTCATCTTTTATATAGGTCATTGCCCGAACAGTGCCCGTGTGTTTATTACGTTCAATATGATTCTGAAAAGCAGTTCAAGCCTGGAGGGATTATTAATAACTATGATTAATAATAGAATGATAATAATGGGGGGGGGGGTTATGTAGAAAGTGAACACATCATAATTATAGTAGTGGTAGTATAAAATATAGTAATTGAAGGGTAAATGGAAAAAATGGACATACGTAGTAATAATGTTAGTAGTGTTATCATAATATACTAGTAATTAAAAAAGGTTTATGGAGAAAGTGGATACAAATAATAATAATAGAGGGTTACTATTGTAGTGTTATAATGATTATTTTTATTATCAGTTAAGCAGTCAAACCATCCAAGCCTGGAGGGATTAGTAATAACAATAATTAATTAATAATAATTAATCATAGTGGTCAAGCAGTCCAAACCTGGTGGGATTATAAATAACAATGATTTATAATAATAGCAATAGAATATAGTAGACTCTTGCTTATCCAAGCTTTGCTGTATTATCTGTATTATCCAACGCAATCTGCCTCTGGCCTGGATCCACCTCTGTTTTAATACATTGCAATGTTTTGGTGCTAAATTTGTAAATACAGTAATTACTACATAACGTTACTGTGTACTGAACTGCTTTATCTATCCATTTGTTGTAAAACATGATGCTTTTTTGCTTAATTTGTAAAAATAAGGTAATTTGACATTTAATACGCTTTTCCTTAATCACTCCTTATTATCCAACATTTTCACATATCCAGTGTTCTGCCGACCCATTTAATCTACTGTAATAACAATAGAGGTGATTATGAAAAGCAGGTCTTGTCTCATTGGACTTTATAGTCAAATTCTAGAAAGTGTGGTGACACTTTCACCACCTAGCTTTTGATGCGTGTAACTCAGCGAAAGGGAAGCCTGGTCCCTTCCATGCTTTCAGTGGTTTGTCTTGGTTTTTCCGGCCCGTTATTATTACTTTTTTTGGTGGCATGAATATCTTAGAACTAAACAGCCGTTTGTTTGTGTTTTCCAACAGGGTCTTTTTCTGGTAAAAATGTCGAATGGTTACGAGGATCACATGGCTGAGGACCTCAAGGACGACATTGGCCGGACGAACTTGATTGTGAACTATCTTCCCCAGAACATGACCCAGGATGAGTTGCGGAGCTTGTTCAGCAGCATCGGGGAAGTGGAGTCCGCCAAGCTCATTCGGGACAAAGTTGCAGGTAAAGCAGCGGACAGAGGAAGGGAGGGGCTTCTGCGGAGGCCATAATACAAATGTAATGGCTTCATATGGCGTCCATGCTCTGACCCCATCTCTCTCTCTCTCTCCATAGGACACAGCTTGGGCTACGGCTTTGTGAACTATGTGACAGCTAAAGATGCCGAAAGAGCCATTAACACGCTGAATGGCCTGAGGCTCCAGTCTAAAACCATCAAGGTAAGAGTGACGTTAGTAGTTTCCCTTCCCATTGCTTTTGCCTTCTGTGTCTTGTTCTCTGAGCCAGGCTGCATTGTTTTTGTTAGTCCATCCATAAGCTGATTAGTGTCCCTCGCGGTCCAACAAATGGCACAGAAGTGTGCTCAGTTAGTAAATAACCCAACGTATTATGACCTTGAAGGAGCTGGGGGTGGTGACGGCCGACAGGGAGCTCTGGCGTGGGCTGGTCCATGAGGTCACGAAGAGTCGGAGACGACTGAATGAATGAACAACAACAATTATGGCTTGCATGTCTACAGGGGTTGGTTTAGAACGGACACATGGGTGGCAAGGCAGGTGGTCTCTAAGGAACCCCTTGTGGCTTTGTGAGTGGTCTCACATAACTGGCTGCCCGGGGCCTCTGAATGGGCTGTTTGTCGATGTCCAAATGTCCCAGGAGGGCTTCGTCATTGCCCTCTTCCAGGCAGGCCACAGCTCCAGTTGGTTGGTTGGTTGTTTGTTTTGGTATTGTGGGTATAGGGCAGCATATAAATAAAGTACAGTAGAGTCTCAGTTATCCATCATAAACGGGCCGTCAGAATGTTGGATAAGGGAAAATGTCAGATAACCGAGACTACTAGAATAGCTAAAGAGTTAAGCCGCCTCTTCCAGTCTCCTCCTCCTGCCACTGATGCCGCCTTTGCCACCCGCCATCGCTCACTTGCTACTCACCAGGCCAGGTCCTGGCAGCAGAACCAGGACTCTGCCCGGTGAGAAGCGAGTGAACACGGAAGGGTGGGCGGGTGAGCAAGCAAGGGAGGGAGGGCAGCAAAGGTGGCAGCAGCGGCAGAAGCCTGGAAGAGTCAGCCAGGCTCCAGCTTCTGCCTCCACTACTGCCTCGGTCACTCACCCGCCCTGGCTCGCTTGCTACTCACCAGGCCGGGTCCCGGCAGCAGAACCAGGACTCGGCCTGGTGAGTAGCAAGTGAATGCGGAAGGGCGGGTGAGCGAGGGCAGTAAAGGTGGTAGTGGCAGCAGAAGCCTGGAAGAGGCAGCCAGGCTCCTGCTTCTGCCTCCACTGCTGTCCACTGCTGCCTTGCTCACTCACCCACCCTCCCTCGCTTGCTCACTCACTGGGCCGGATCCTGGCAGCAGAACCAGGACTTGGCCCAGTGAGTAACGAGTGAGGGGGGTGGGTGAACAAGCGAGCGAGAAGGGTGGCAAAGGCGACAGTGGCTGCAGAAGCCTGGCCACCTCTTCCAAGCTCTTGCTTCTGCCGCCGCCACTGCCCTCCCTAGAGGGCAGTAGAACCAGGACCCAGCCCAGTGGGAGAGGAAGGGAGAGAACTGGGGCCCAGAGGAGACCAGGTTCCTGCTTCTGCTGCCACTGTCGCCTTTGCCACCTGCTCTCCCTCACTTGCACAGAGCCAGGACTCAGCTGGGAGGGCGGGTGAGTGAGGGAGGGTGGCAAAGGCAGTGGCCGCAGCCTTTGCTGCCAAGGGTGTCAGATAATATGGAGTGTCGGATAAATGGTGGTCAGATTACCCTAGGCTCTACTGTATTATTATTACTACTACTTCTACTGAACGTGGTATGGAACCGCATGTCCTGCATTATACACAGTATATAATAGTGTCTTGATTGAAGGAAGCAATTGTCTCTCTCTTAGGTGAGACTTCTTTACTTGGAATCACACTGTGTCCAATTCTGGGCATCACAGAGATATTTTGAAAACTAAAACATCAGCAAAAATTGAGGACCAAACAAATTATTGACTGGCTCTTTAATGTGACTTGTAATTGATACTTCCCATTTTAATCTGCAGCTATTGCTGCGTTTTATTGAGTCTTATTTAATTTGAATGGTGTTTTTGTAAGCTTATATATATATATATATCTGTTTTTTGTCAGTTGATACTGTTATTGTTTTATAAATGTTTATGCATTTTACTGTATTTTACATGTTCTTACAGCACTATTATGTGCCTTTTCTAAGCCGTCCCAAGTTCCTTTTGGAACTCACTACCTGGTGAGATTAGGCAAGCCACCACCCTAACAGCCTTTAAGAAAGATCTGAAAACCTGGCTCTTCCGTTGTGCCTTTGGAGAGTGACTATTAATCCCATTTCTCTCTGTTCCATCTACAGTGTTGTCCTTATGATGCACTTTCCCCTATTCTAAATTGAAGGCCTAACTGTACTGTTTGCCCTTTTTGGGCTTCTCTCAAATACACTTTTTTTACTCCTACCTCATCCAGGGCTTTATAATTTTATCTTGTCTATTTGTCCTGCTCGTTGTGTTCGATTTCCTACTATGCCCATGATGGTGAACCTATGACACACATGTCGGCACTGACACGCATGGCTATTTTTGATGGCACGCAGACACATGCAGCCGCATACAAAGAAGTACACCTTATAAGAACCAATCTAATTCCATCCTTAAATTTGTAAAAGGCTCTACAAATTTAACATCTGCACGTTTGAGCATTGTTCACTCCATAACTCAGCATGGATTATACATTTTCTTATTTAAACTATAAATATAGCAAAATTATGGGTTTTTCTCTCTCGAAGTGACACCCCCACTCAAGTTATGCTCAGGTTTTTGGCAAATGTTGACACACCAAGCTCAAAAGCTTGCCCATCACTGTACTGTGCTATTTTGCTTTGTTTACTTTATTTTGCCACTGTATGTACTTTATTGTGATGTAATTTTTGTTGTTGTATTTTGCACTTTATTTTGCTGTATTGTATCTTTGGGCTTGGCCTCATGTTAGCCACCCCGAGTCCCCTTCGGGATGATGGTGGCGGGATATAAATAATTATAATTATTATGGTAGGTTGTGGTGGGATATACATAAAGTTATTATTATAATTATTATTATCATCATTATTATATTGACTCTGGAAGGTGTCCATAGGAGGACGGCTAAAAGGATCAAAGGTCTGGAGACCATGAATCCCTATGAGGAGCATCTCAAAGAACTGGGAATGTTTAGCCTCAGAAGAGAAGGTTGAGAGGAGACATGAGAGCCATGTATAAATATGTGAAAGGGTGTCCTAAGGAAGAGGGAGCAACCTTGTTTTCTGCTGCCCTTGAAACTAGGAATAGGAGTAGTGGTTCAAATGGCAAGAAAGGAGATTCCACCTGAACATTAGGAAGAACTTCCTGACTGTACGAGCTGTTTAACAGTGGAACTCTCTGCCTTGGAGTCTGGTGGACGCTCCTTTCTTGAAGGCTTTGAAACAGAGTCTGGATGGCCATCTGTCAGGAGAGCTTTGATTGTGCTTAGATGACCCATGCGGTCTCTTCCAACTCTAGGATTCTATATTCATTTCCTTTCTTAAAGACATAGCACATGTGCCCTGGCATCCGAGTGCAAAAAAGTGCCACCCGGAGCTAAATGAGCGAGTCTGAAGAGATTGCTTGGGCTCACTGGTCCTTGCACTTCCTTGTGGACACTTTTGCCTAATTTGGTTTCCAAGCATGTACTTATTACCAGTATTTATTCAAGTCTAATGTGCACACAATCTAATGCACACTTCCATTTTCACAACCCTGAAACCAAAACAAACATTTGCTGGCAGAGGTAATATGCACTGGCAAGAACAATGCACTCTTTGTCATTTGGCCCAAAAGGGTGTCCATTACAGTTGCTGCATGTTTAGGATTCAGTCTTTAAAACACAAAAATGTTAGAGCCCCAAAGCTTTTAGCAAGGAATGTGAGGGACGCCATCTCTCATTTAATGCTATGCAGTGCTGGGAGTTGTAGTTTGGTTGGGCATCCTCATTCCTTGGCAAAGATGTCCCCGGTGGCGCAGTGGGTTAAAACCTTGTGCTGACAGGACTGACAGGTCAGCAGTTCGAATCCAGGGAGAGCAGGTTGAGCCCCCTCTTTCAGCTCCAGCTTCCCATGCGGGGACATGAGAGAAGCCTCCCACAAGGATGGTAAAACATCAAACATCTGGGCAGCGTCCTTGCAGACGGCCAATTCTCTCACACTAGAAGTGACTTGCATTTTCTCAAGTCACTCCTGACACACACAAGAAAATTCTTGGCAAACAAGGTTCAACACCTTGTCAAATTACAGCATTGAACCAAGGCTATTAACGTATTTATTTTTTGTGTTGGAAGCAAATTGAGAATACAGTTATAATGTATAGGAAAACCAAAAAGTTAAGAACTTGGCATGATGCTAAATGTCCTTTGAACAGAAGCCGCCCACTTGGAGTGTCTCCGGTGTCGCTATTAGGAGGTCCTCCATTCTGCATGTGGCAGGGCTCTGTAAGTGGTCTCTGGTTTGCTCTTCTCCGCACTCACATGTCATGGATTCTGCATTGCGGACCCATTTCTTAAGATTGCCTCTGTATCTCGTGGTGCCAGAGCGCAACCTGTTCAGCGTCTTCCAAGTCACCCAGTCTTCTGTGTGCCCAGGAGGGAGTCTCTCATCCGGTCTCAGCCACTGACTGAGGTTCCAGATTTTAGCCTGCCGCTTTTGGACTCTTACTTGCTGAGGGTATTCCTGCAAGTGTCTCTGTAGATCTTAGGAAACTGTTTCTTAATTCAGGGCATTGGCTTGCTGGCTGATATCCAAACAGAGGATTGGCTGGAGATGTTACCGTCTTAGTTCTTTCATTGCTGGCTACTACTTCCCGGCGGATGTCAGGTGGTGCAATACCTGCGAAACAGTGTAAATTCTCCAGCGGTGTAGACATCCTGTGATAATGCATTATCTCATTAAGTGCCACATCCACTGTTTTAATATGGTGAGATGTGTTCCACACTGGGCATGTGTACTCTGCAGCAGAGTAGCAAAGCACAAGGGCAGATGTCTTCACTGTGTCTGGTTGTGATCCCCAGGTTGTGCCAGCCAGCTTTCGTATTATGTTATTTCCAGTACCCACTTTTTGCTTGATAGTCAAGCAACTCTTCTTGTAAGTCAGAGCATGGTCCAGGGTGACTCCAGGTATTTGGGTGTGCTGCAATGCTCCAGTGGGATTCCTTCCCTGGTCATCCTCGGAACTCGAGATGCTTGTCTGTTCTTAAGATGGAAAGCACACGTCTGCATGTTAGATGTATTAGGAATTAGCTGGTTTTCCCTGTAATAGGCAGTAAGAGCATCTAGAGCAGTGGTTCTCAACCTGTGGGTCCCCATGCGTTTTGGCCTACAACTCCCAGAAATCCCAGCCAGTTTACTAGCTGTTAGGATTTATGGGAGTTGAAGGTCAAAACATCTGGGGACCCACAGGTTGAGAACCACTGATCTAGAGGTTTGGAGAGCTTCTGTTCGGCCATTTCAAAGCTCCCTGTTTGGGCAAAGATGGCACGATCATCGGCATAGATGAAGCTCTCTGTCCCTTCTGGCAGTTGCTGGTCATTTGTGGAAATATTGATCATTGATGGGAGCAAGCAAACATCAAAAGTGACTTGCAATATGCAACCAAATAATCAGGCAATTAAAGTGGATTCATTCTACAACAGAGATGCATCTCAAGGTTTTTTGCTTTCTCTTGCTGAATGCCTTGGGTTTCTAATGTCTTGCATTGTTGTCGTCTTTTCCAACCCAAGGTGTCCTATGCCCGGCCCAGCTCTGAAGTGATCAAGGACGCCAACCTGTACATCAGCGGCCTGCCACGAACAATGACGCAGAAAGATGTGGAAGACATGTTCTCGCGGTTTGGGCGCATCATCAACTCACGTGTCCTGGTTGACCAGACCACAGGTGCGCACGGCTGGTGGAGGAGGGCTCTCGCCTTGTCTTTGGGGAGTGGGCCGTCGGGAGCATCGCCACGGGGCGCCTCTTACAGTCACTTAGTCCAGGGAGCCCAGTCCCATGGCTTCCATGGACAAAGGGACCAGGTCAGCTTCTCCTTTAATTCTTCTGGGCTCTAAGGAGGAGCTCTGCTTGGCACTTGGGGTTCATAATTCCATATGTTTTGGCTTTTTTTTTTTTTTGGTCATGTCAGGAGCGACTTGAGAAACTGCAAGTCGCTTCTGGTGTGAGAGAATTGGCAGTCTGCAAGGACGTTGCCCAGGGGACGCCTGGATGATTAGATTTTTTAATCATCCTTGTGGGAGGCTTCTCTCATGTCCCCTCATGAGGAGCTGGAGCTGATAGAGGGAGCTCATCCTCCTCTCCCCGGATTCGAACCTATGACCTGTCGGTCTTCAGTCCTGCCGGCACAGAGGTTTAACCCACTGTGCCACCGGGGGCTCCTACGTTTTGGCTTGAAAAGCCCAGAGACCGAATTCCCCCTTCTGGGCAGTCTTGGATCCAGTCCAGAGCAGGGGCTAGATACCATGGTGGTTTTTGGAAAGACATGACTGTGTTAGAGAGCGTAACCTTATGTAAAATATGATCTTCCTGAGAAAAGTTAAAAACTCTCTTGAGTCAACCTTCTCATCAGTGGTAAATATATCCACTAGTATTCATTCAAGGCAATACGGTTCTTCAGCTGTTAGACTGATATACCTGGTTATCTCTGAACTGTTAGGAACAAAGATATGCCAATACACAAAAAACAGAGGCTCAGAAGTGTTCTTTTCCGTGCCCAAAAACATCTACTCTCCCTTAAAACATCTTGGTTTTAATCATGCTCTCAAGAGACCAAAATAAGTAGACTTTGTTAAAATAACATACCTGGTTCCTCACACACTTCATGTATTCAGCATACAGGTACATTGCTTATCAGTCAGATTTGAAGTCGTTTCTCTGTGCAGATAATACGGGGCATCTTTCTTGTAGTCGTAACAGTCCAAAGTCTAAAGCATCTCTCCAATCTGAGAGTTTAATAGAGTATCTTGTCTTTGTTGACTGACTTCTAAAATGGAGTCTGAATCTGAAAAATCCCAGACCTGGTTACATGGTCTCAGGCATTTGAACCTCCAACTCCCAGAAGCCCCTCTTACCAGCTTATTCAATTGCCAGAGATTTTAAGAAGACCAAGAAAATCAGCCTTTGGTTATATATGGAGATGAGTGGAGCGATGCTACATGATGAAAGGGTAGCATTCATACTCTGGCTGCGTGGGTGGTGAAGAGGACACAGCACACATTGTATCATGATCTGTGACTTAAGGAACCAACAGTTGAAGGAAAAACTGCTGTTGAAGTTCTCCCTCTGTTCTTTAGACAGTGTTCGAACCCATTGCATTTGCACATGGTTTGCTCATTCCACAGAGGCAGATAGGAAGGCGCTCCAGAGAATTATGGGTTGCCCTCTTTCTTTCCTCTTTGGAAGATTTGTATAATTCCCGCTGCCTTTAGAAAACTCAGAATATTTTTAAGTATCCATTTCACCCTGGGTGTTCTCTTTTTCAATTGCTACTACATAGCAGAAGGCACAGGATGGTAAAAACAAGGACAAAGGAGAAGAGAGAACTTTCATCCCATATTGAACTTTGGTTTCACTTATGGGGCATTATAGGGATTGTGCAGTAGTGAGTAGAATGCGGAAGGATGGGTGTTTTGGGTTGCTGTGAATTTTTGGGCTGTACGGCCATGTTCCAGTAGCATTCCCTATTAATGTTTGGCTTGCATCTGTGGCCAGCATCTTCACAGGGGTTTTGTTTTGTAAATCTGCATATATGTGTATTGGGGATTAGGAATTGTGGGAGTTGAAATCCAAAACACATGGAGGGCCGAAGTTTGCCCATGCCTCCTTTACAGTCTGTCTGATTGCTGCTCCACGTTATTATACGTAATTATAATAACAAAAGACAGTATAGTGATCTTGTTTGCTGTGTTCTTACCTTGTTGTTTATCTACATAATAATAATAATAATAATAATAATAATAATAATAATACTAATAATAATGGAAGTATTGGAGTTGAAGTCCAAAACTTCAACTCTGAGGTACTGCCTCACCCCCTACCAACCCCAGAGATCCCTCCGTTCTGAGGACCAGGATCTCTTGGAAATTCCCAGTGTCAAGACCTTGCGTCTAACAGCAACCAGATGCAGAGCCTTCACAGCAGTGGCACCATCACTCTGGAATACTCTGCCACCTGAAGTCCGTGCCTTGCGGGACTTACCAGCTTTCCGCAGGGCATGTAAGACATACCTGTTTTGACAGGTTTTTAATGCTTGATATTGCTGTTTTTGAATTGTTTTAAATTGCATTTAAATTTAGTTAGATTTTAGCCATTCTTGTAAGCCACTCCAAGCCCCAGGGGAGTGGCGGCATATAAGTTCAAATAATAAATAAATAAAAACTCCTGGAGGGCCGAAGTTTGCCCATTCTTCCTTCACAGTCTGATTGGTGCTCTGTGTTGTCTAAAATGTATGTGTTTAATAATATATAATAGTGATGACGATAACGTGTAGAAGTCCAAAACACCCCGAGGGCTGAAGTTTGCCCGTGCCAGGAGTAGAGGAAATGCATAGATAGAAAGATGTAAGTTGCTCTAACTGGCAAAGGCGAGGGGGGTTGGGAAGGCAGGGTTTGCTTACTGGTTTCTCTAGTGGTGGAAGCTCCTTCCTTGGTAACTTTTAGACAGAGACTAGATGGCCATCTGTCAGGGGTACTTTGATTGTGCTTCTCCTGCATGGCAGGGGGTGGGACTAGAGTTATTTATTTATCGTGTCAGAAGCAATTTGTGGGTACTGTTGTAATGTATAGAAAACCCACAAACAAAGTTTTAAAAATTGGCATTATACTAAATGTCCTTTGACCAGAAACTGGCCACGTAGAGTGCCTCTGGTGTGGCTGTGAGAAGGTCCTCCGTTGTTCATGTGGCAGAGCTCAGACTGCATTGTAATAGGTGGCCTGTGATTTGCTCTTCTCCACACTTGCATGTTGTGGACACCACTTTGTGGCCCCATTTCTTAAGATTGGCTCTGCAGCTCATGGTGCCAGAGCGCAGTCTGGTCAGTACCTTCCAAGTCGCCCAGTCTTCTGTGTGCTCAGGAGGGAGTCTCTCATCTGGTCTCAGCCACTGACTGAGGTTTTGCCTGCCACTTTTGGACTCTCACTTGTTAAGGTGTTCTTTCAAGTGTCTCTGTAGATCTTAGGACGATATTTCTTGATTTAGGGCGTTAGCTTGCTGGCTGACATCCGAACAGAGTATTGGCCGGAGATGTCACTGCCTTGGTCCTTTCATTGCTGCTGCTACTACCTGACGTATGTCAGGTGGTGCAATACCGGCTAAACAGTGTAATTTCTCCAGCAGTGTGGGGTGTAGACATCCTGTGATAATGCATCGTCTCATTAAGTGCCACATCCACTGTTTTAATATGGTGAGATGTGTTCCACACTGGCATGCGTACTCAGCAGCAGAGTATCAAAGCGCAAGGGCAGATGTCTTCACTGTGTCTGGTTGTGATCCCCAGGTTGTGCCAGCCAGCTTTCGTATGATGTTGTTTCTAACACTCACTTTTTGCTTGATATTCAAGCAGCTCTTCTTGTAAGTCAGAGCATGGTCCAGGGTGACTCCAGGTATTTGGGTGTACTGCAATGCTCCAGTGGGATTCCTTCCCTGGTCATCCTTGGAGCTCGAGATGCTTGTTTGTTCTTAAGATGGAAAGCACACGTCTGCATTTTAGCTGGATTAGGAATCAAGTGGTTTTCTCTGTAATAGGCAGGAAGAGCACCTAAAGCAGTGGTTCCCAACCTTTGGGCCTCCAGGTGTTTTGGGCTTCAGCTCCCACGCTTTGTAACACCTGGTAAACTGGCTGGGATTTCTGGGAGTTGAAGTCCAAAACACCTGGATGCCCAAAGGTTAGGAACCACTGACCTAAAGCTTTGGAGAGCTTATGTTCAACTATTTCAAAGCTCCCTGCTTGAGCAGTGATGGCACGATCATCAGCATAGATGAAACTCTGTTTCCCTTCTGGCAGTGGCTGGTCATTTGTGTAAATGCTGAACATTGATGGAGCAAACACACTCCCCTTTTTTGCCATCTGCTTCTTCAACAAAAAAGCTCCTGTTTTGTAGCAGATTTCCTATGAAGCGGGTGAGGTGGTGATCCTTTGTGACTAGATGGTCCATGGGGTCTCTTCCAACTCGATTATTCTATGATTTTTCCTCCTCCCCTGCCAGGCCTGTCCCGTGGGGTGGCCTTCATCCGTTTCGACAAGCGCTCCGAAGCCGAGGAAGCCATCTCCAGCTACAACGGCCACAAGCCCCCTGGCTCCTCCGAGCCAATCACCGTAAAGTTTGCCGCCAACCCCAACCAGAACAAGAACGTGGCGCTGCTCTCCCAGCTGTACCACTCTCCGGCCCGGCGGTTCGGGGGCCCCGTCCACCACCAGGCACAGAGGTTCAGGTAGGTCTCCGAGTGACCCCAGGAGGTCTGCAGTGCCACCACGCTTCCTCTCTTTGTGTCCCTCTCTCTGTCTCTTCCTTTGCTCATTGCCGTCCATCATCAGACCCTATACACCGACGACTACGCCACCACCTTGCAGTCACTAGATCAGGCATGGGCAACTTTGGCCCTCCCTCCGGGTATTTTGGACTTCAGCTCCCAGTATTCTTTTCTTTTCTGCTAAAGGAGAAAAGGAAAAGGTCTGAGGTTGTTAGGAATGGTGGAAGTTGAAATCCAAAACACCTGGAGGAAGGACCAAAGTTTGCCCAGGCCTGCACTAGATGAAGAGAGACTAGGACCCTCCCTCCCAATCCTTCAGTATATCCTCCCCTGTTCCTCAATGTTAGTGTTTGCTCTCTGGGAAGTCTTGCAGGCCCCTTGCCCTCCTTCCTCTCCTTGGGCCCGTGTCCCTTGTGGCTGCCATATTGGTGTGCTTGCACTGCCAGGAGCACCTTCACTTCCTCCTCCTGGTTTAGGGCTCAATGTAAATCTGTGTCCGCGGATTTCTGCGATGCCTTTAACCAACTCTTTCCCCATGTTTCTTGACAGTTCGCGTGGAGTCCATCCGCTTGGTCCCAATTGCACCTCCAACTTCTTCCATTAGATTATTATTCTTATTCTTATTTTTCTCCTCTTCTTTTTTAAAAATTCTGTGTAACCACAGAGAGAGAGAGAGAGAGAGAGTTCCGTTCTCCTTTTCCTCTTGAAAACCCACAGCGGAGTGCTTCTGTCCCCCTCCTCCAAACGATTTCTGTACCCCAAGCGATGTCAGTGAACATTGTTGATGTCCATTTCTGTTTCTGATTATTTTATTTCCGTTCTACAGACCTTTCTCTCTCCCCCCCTCCCATCTCTCTCTCTGAGCCTCCTTTCTCTTCTCCCCCCCCCCCTCTTTTTATTAGATTTTCATTTAAATAGTGGATTAAACATTGCCCTCCAGGCCCGCTTTTCCCTGTGAATAAAGATTGAAACTGTCTCTGTCTGCTCTGATGCTTCACGACCAGATTGTCAAACATTTCATTTAGAAATTGTGTGGAAGGGGAGGTGGTGGTGATGATCATGTGGTGTTCATTGCAAGGCATGCTTCCTCAGTCAGCAAAAAAGCCACAAATTTAAAAATGTGTTGTCAAAGGAAGTCTTTCAAGGCCAGAATGTTTGGGTTGCTATGAGTTTTCTGGGCTGCCTGGCCATGTTCCAGAAGCATGCTCTCCTGACGTTTCGCCCACATCTATGGCAGGCATCCTCAGAGGTTGAAAGGTCTGTTGAAAACTAGTCAAGTGGGGTTTCTATATTGTGGAATAATACCAGCTGCAAAGTCAATCAGTGAGGGTCTCTGCATAGAGGTAGTGAAGCAAGTGGACTGTATATATATCCCTGTGGAATGGTGTCTAGAACCCTTGTCTGTTGGAGGCAAGTGGGAACGTTGCAGTGAGCAAACTTGAATAGCATTGAGTAGCCTTGCAGCTGCAAAGTCCATCAGTGAGGGTCTCTACATAGAGGTCTGTTGGAAATGAGGCAAGTGGGGTTTTATGTATTTCTGCAATGTCCGGGGAGGAAGAAAGAACTCTTGTCTGTTGGAGGCAAGTGGGAATGTTGCAACTGGCCAGCTTGATTAGCATTGAATAGCCTTAATAAAAACCTTTATTTGTCCATCTCCCCGAGGGGACTCAGGGCGGTTTCCAGCATAGTAAAACATTGCAATTACTGATATAAAAACATACAAAAAGTCATTATAAAAAGTATAAACAGTATACTATAATAATTGTACATATTTTTAAAAAATTCAAGTACATTTTTATGTATTAACAATAATGAGGGAACGGGAAAGAGAGAGTATAGAATTCCATGTAAAGTGGGGGAACAATTGTATAAAAGAAAAGTAAAGAAAGTAGAGGGGGGGGGGGTATCCAGTACAAATATAGACAAAGAAGGTTAGAGAGAACAAAATTAAAACAAATTTGGAAATTTGAAAAAAAAGTTTGAATAAATTTGAAGAATTGAAACTGTGAAAAGATAAAAAAAAGATGAAAAAAATGAATAACATATAAAATGGTGACTTCTATCTAATCCTTTGCGGTTTAGAATTTATTCCATCTGTGATCTTCTCGTATTGGCTAATATTGATATAAAAAGAGAAGAATAGAGAAATCTGTTTAGAGCAAAATGTACTGAGGATTTCTTTCGCCTTTTACATATTTAAAATTAAAAAGCCAGTTCAGTACTAATTATATCAGGCAGTTCAGCTTCCAGTGGCCAAGATTCCAAAGTGGGCCTCGACATTGGGTTAGTACAGTGAAGTAGGCTAGGGCCCAGGGGGTGGGTAAAGTGTAAACATGGCTTACTTAATGGTCAGGGTGGGACCTGGAGTTATTTATTTGCAGCTGCAGAGTCCATCAGTGAGGGCATCTGCGTAGAGGTAGTTAAGCAAGTGGATGGTGTCTATCCCTGTGGAATGATGTCCATGGAGAAAAAAAGAACCTTTCTGAGATTAAAACATTTTGAATGTTGCAATTAGCAAGCTTGATTAGCATTAAATAGCCTTACAGCTGCAAAGTCAGTCAGTGAAGGTCTCTGCATAGAGGTAGTGAAGCAAATGGTATATATAACTTACTGTGGAATGATGTCCAGGGTGGGAGCTGGCTGTCCAGGTGTCTGTTGGGGGCAAGTGTGAATGTTGCAGTTAGCATTAGAGTAGCCTATGGCTCTTCCCTCCCCTGGATGTCATAGTGATTACATTTGGAAAGGAGGAGAGCTGAGGTCTAGGGCCGAAGATGGCAGCGAGGTCGGCTGTGTAGCAAAACTCCCCTGTCTGTTTATATGTTTTATCTAGTGTTTTAATTACCTATATTATCATATACTAGCATTTTATCAGCTATTTTAGACTATATCTGTGGAAGCCGGGAGAGGAAAGCGAAATTAATTAGGCTGCTGATAACCCTTCAGAACTGTATAAAGACAAAACAAGGAGAGGCGTGAGGCACATTCCCAAAAGACAGAAAAGACTTGCCCCATCAACTGTCCAAAGCTCTCAAATCGACAAGAAGGAAAAGATCTCCAATGCTAGTGGATGAATCCGTTTGACTAAAACAAAGGTACTTTGAGGCTTTTGCGATTGCACACCAAGTCCAGGCCCCAAGGACGCCTGAGGAGACAGCTGTTACATTAACCAACAGATTCAAGCCTTTGATGGAGGGGGAGCTGACACCACTTCCCTGAATGTGGGGGTTGAGGAAGAGGAGATGTCAAAAGCACCAAAATGATAAATGCTTACATCCCACCAGTCACATCCTCTTATTATAGTCCTAATACCTGGGTACAGTTAGAAATAATGGTGGAAGAATTAACAGTGATGTATATACAAGCAACAATTACTTTAATGAGAGACTTTAATGCTAAATTAGGGCCATCCATTAATGAACTAGTTCAGTATGGTGGTCTCCCACATGATTTTATTAACAACCATCCTCAATGGTATTCCAGAGACAAAAGGTTCAGTAGGGCTGGTATAAGTCTGCTTTCATTGATTTCTGGAGAAATTACAGTGCTTAGCCAGTATTGCACCACCTGACATCCGCCGGGAAGTAGCAGCCAATCGTGAAAGGACCAAGGCAGAGACATCTCCAGCTCATCCCCTGTTTGGGTATCAGCCAGCATGTCAACGACTTAAATCTAGAAATAGTTTTCTAAGATCTACAGAGACACTCGCTGGAACACCTCAGCAAGCGAGAGTCCAAAAGTGGCAGGCTCAAACCCAGAACCTCAACCAATGGCTGATACCAAAGGAGAGACTCCCCCTGGGCACACAGAGGACTGGGCGACTTGGAAGGCGCTGAACGGAAGGCGCTGAACAGACTGCGCTCTGGCACCACGAGATGCAGAGCCAACCTTCAGAAATGGGGCTACAAAGTGGAATCCTTGACATGTGAGTGTGGAGAAGAGCAAACCACTGACCACTTGCTGCAATGCAACCTGAGCCCTGCCACATGCACAATGGAGGACCTTCTTGCAGCAACACCAGAAGCACTCCAAGTGGCCAGATACTGGTCAAAGGACATTTAATCAACTACCAAACCCACAAATTTTGTATTTTGTCTGTTTGTTTGCTTTGTTCTGTTAGAAATGTAATATAATTTGACTGGTTGTCCTGACACGACAAACAAACATTTACAAATCCTAGGAGGTAAGAATAATTCTAAAAATCAGGACTATGTATACACATTTCATTCCAGGCGCACAAGCGGTGCCTTAGATTTCATATGTGTTTCATCAGATACTGCCAATCTTTTCTCACAGTTCAATGTGCTTTTGAGGGAAGAAAGTGACCACCAACCGGTGTGTGTAATTTTTTTTGGGCCCTTCAGATTTAAGGCCAAACAATAGGAATGATAAATGGATTACGGCCAACACAGAGGTGATAGAAAGTAAAAGACTTGCTTGGACCAAAATAGACATGCTGGTAATAGCGAACACCCTCGAATCAGAAGATATAGCAAAGTGGGCCTTACTAATACAGTCACCCTCGGCTGAGTAGCAGACAGTCTCTAATGCATTCACAAATATTTGAGGTAGCCTAAAGGAACATCTTGTAACAAAAGCCTTTCCTAAAGGTCCTCACATGAGCAGAGCACCCTGGTTTGACAAAGAATGCCATCTTCTGAGAACAAAGATTAGGACAGCAATGAGGCGTGCTCAGGAACAACATTCTGCACATTTGCAAGCAGAAATGTTGACCCTGAGACAAGAATACAAGAAACTTATTAAAACAAAAAGGGGAAATCATGCAGTCTCAATCTGGTCCGGACTCGAGTGTTCAGCTAAGAGTAATAACTCGGCTATCTTTTAGCATGCAGTAACTGGAATTTTGAAGGAAAGGAAATTTGCATTTGATATACCTATCCCCGCAGAGGACTGGGAAAATTACTATACCCACTTGTTTGCTCCATCAGAACCCACAGTGACAC